CAATGACATGTGTCAACCAAGTCAGCCAGCCTGACCACCCAATCCTGGTAGCAGATATTGCTTTAATGCAGCGGACTCAATGAGCAGACATACACTTCAAATCATATAAATAGCTAACACTGTTTTGTGTTGTGCACACCTCCTTTAACAAGTACATCGAATTGGGAATGAGAACAAATGCATTGATATCAAATATTTTATTTTCTGTAGGTTACTGTACAATTTGTACATGACTTGTTCAACATGATGATACTTCATCTAGCTGCTATGCTGTAGTTTAAACCTGGGACGACAGTATTCCACAGATCTGGAATACCACACATCACAAAGGCAGCTAGGTAATTTCTGTTAATTGTGCAACGTGACACTGATTCAAAGACCCTGTTCAGCTTCATATTCTTGCAATACATGTTCAAATGATCCAAAACTCCCGATCCACTACTACTTATGTTACAAACAGAATGGAGCATGGGTCTCTCACCCAGTTAACCTTAGTCTTTGAAAAACAAATGTAACGCAATCATACCACTAGGTGCATGATAACTGTACAATCAAAACCTTCATGGTATATCCTAAGCTCCTGACCATATTTAAGCATGGTAGCACATTCAGAAATACTTAAATTTCATTTTAATTGGTAAACAAATGAGTATGAACCAGGTAAAACAATCACTGCACAGGATGTACTGAAGTCATTGAATCTCCTAAGTTGTTTTAACATAGGGATCCTAAATGTTAAACTTTCATCATAAGTGCTATAACAAGGACCCTTTTACTGTAGTGTTTATGTTCGAACACTGTCATTGGTTGAACAAAGAAGAAAGATAGCTGAGGTCTGACAGTAAATAACCAACCTGCCACCAATCTATGTTCGACAGTGCATGATTAACTGATCTCACATTGTGTAATTTAATCCTCGATATAATAGGCTCTGACAACATTGGGTACTGGGTAAATTAAGCAAGTTTTGTGTCAGCGTAGATAGTTCTGTCCTCAACCTAATGCATTCTTGATGATCTGAGTGTTTCACACAGTGACACCTAGACAAAGCTACACAAAACATTCCCAATATGTACAAGTGGCAAAACATCATGGAAAATATTACATTTACTGTAAAATCAAAGAATATATCTGTTCTGAACTCAAGCAACCCTTTCAGTACCTACCCTAAAACAGAATTCAGGACATAGTTCATTCACACAGCTACCATACTAGGCGATACAAATAATTGATTTTCGAACAAAGGCATCATAACAACTCAATTTTCAGCTAAAATGTATCCTTGTGGGTTATACCACAGCATGGGGATGTTCTTTTTCCAAGTGAAATACTAGTTTCTATCACCACACACAAACACAACTACATGGGTGATCTCCCTTTGGATCGTTGGTTTGTTTGACGCCACACTTAGCAATATTCCAGCTATACGGCAGCTGTCCGTAAATAATCGAATCTGGACCAGATAATCCAGTGATCAACAGCATTAGCATCGATCTAAGCAAGTGGGATACGATGACATGTCAACCAAGTCAATGAGCCTGACCACCCGATCCCGTTAGTCACCTCTTATGACAAGCATGGGTTACTGAAGACCAATTCTAAGCCGGATCTTCACGGGTCGTTATCTCTCTTAGAAGAGGGTCATCAGGACAATAAGTAATAACTTAGCTATGAAAATATCTGGTTTCATTTAATTGGGATGAACACTGCCTTGATTCTGCTCTAGCATGGTTCTGAGGACGCAAGGACAAAACAATTCAAAATTACACCATTTAACTGATGTTTAGACATAAATAACAGCAACAAAACACTTTCCACAATCATAAGAAACTTAAGCTTAGAGCTGACACTGCTGATCCAGTCTGACAATTATGAGCTTTTGTTCATGAATCAATCAGTGATGATAAAAGGTATTTGCAAAAGGCAAGTGTATCCCAACTCTCAGTGGTGGCATCTATCACAAACACATGCAAAGGCAAGTCAAATGGTTACCTGGCAAAAAATACACGGGAAGATGTGGTACAAGTCAAAGAAAAGGGAATTTCCACATTTTGTCATTGATCCATCAAATTTGGAAATGTCCTCCAAATGTAAGCATGGACTCCCATGCATAAATCTAAGCAGGGAGTGTGCATCTGTATCAAGAGATGAAGGATTCCATCTGGTGAATATCATGTATAACTCATAGTAAAATATATATCATGACTCGTACTACTGACAAGAGGAATTCCTCCATGGTCATCAAAAAGTTTACTCAGGTTCTCTAAAATTAATCCCCAAATTAGAATTTTTTTAAAGAAGATACATTCAAACCTTACAAAACAAGCATTGTCACTAAGGTGACATAATCCCCCGCCACAAATTATCAAATCAAACTTAAAAAGTAATGAAAGTTTAAGATGAAGTTAAATGTCAATAAAAACATGACCAGTCAACCTCTCTTGATATCTTGCTCTTTAGTTGTTCAAACACACAAATATTTTCAAGACTGACTTTGACCTTGACATGAATGTCATAGTGTATGAAATATGCAAAAATGGTACTAAAGAAATTGCTTATTGAAAAACATTCAAGGGAAGTCTTGAAAATCTATGAAGAAAATCCAGTGAATTCAGGTTAACATGCTGAAATCTTCAAAGTGTCGCAGTGACCTTGAAAATTATGTTAAGGTCACCAAAATCGACTGGGCCTTGCACTTTCCCTAGATGAAGCTTGGTGTCATATATGAAAAAAATCCAGTGAATGTTTTTTGCGATATCTTGCTGACTATCTTAACATGCAATTTAACATGCTGAAATCTTCAAAGTGTCTTTGTGACCTTGAAGATTAAGTGAAGGTCACCAAAATCGACTAGGCCTTGCACTTTCCCTAGATGAAGCTTGGTGTCAAATATGAAGAATGTCCAGTGAATGGTTCTTGAGATATCTCGCTGACCATCTTAACATGCAGGTTAACATACTGAAATCTTCAAAGTGTCGCTGTGACCTTGAAAATTAAGTGAAGGTCACCAAAATCGACTGGGCCCTGCGCTTTCCCTGGATGAAACTTGGCGTCAAATATGAATGGTTCTTGAGGTATCTCGCTGACAAGCATAACATGCAGGTTAATATGCTGAAATCTTCAAAGTGTCGCCATGACCTCGATAATTATGTGAAGGTCACCAAAATCGACTGGGCCCTGGGCCCTGCGCCTTCCCTAGATAAAGCTTGGTGTTGAATATGAAGACAATCTAGTGAACGGGTCTTGAGATATCTCGCTGACAAGAGTAAAATGTTAAAGTCCCCTTGTGACCTTGAAATGAAGGTCAAGGTCACCAAACCTGACTGGGACCTTTCTTATACTGTGATGAACCTAGGTGCCAAATATGAAAAGAATCTAGTCAACGGTTCTTAAGATATTCCAATTAGGTACGGACGGACGGAGCCTAATACTATATCCCCGCTTTGCTCTAAACGCTGGCGGGGAACAATTAACATTGTTCATCAATGGACAAATCATATTTAGTATGAACACTGAGCCAATTACAAACTGTCATACTTGCTTCAAACTTTACTCAATCACTGTTATAATACCCTTACCTACCCGGTAACTGGCAGCTTTGACATGGAAAGTATGAAAAACAAACTTCACACAAAAAATGCAACATAAAATGTCAATGCGAGGTCTGTAATAAATCGCACCATATTAACCTAGTCTGGAAAGGTTTTGGATCTTTCTAAATGGTACCATAAATAGGTGTTTTACTAATCCTGTTGTATGTCTAATGACCCTTTGGGTATTGTCTATCATTATCCCCTCAAAGTATATCGTTCATTTTACCATAGGATACTACTAATACTGACTAGAACATTCCGTTCTTGTATTTCTTCAAATAAGTACACTTAGATTCACACTCAAATTCAAAACCGGGATTATTTCTTACAGAATGAAATAGCATCTACAAAGTAAATAACAGCTATATATCAGATGCCTTCTGCCTTATTGGTAGGGGGTGAGCACAAGTTCCTTCCTCAGTAACATTTGTTTTCCAGACATCATTTTAAGCTGTCTCACTAAATTGACAGAGAGAGATTGGTGGCCCTCCCTACAAGAAGTCATCATGATAAAGGATTTCATAATGTCATTACGAAATGACAGCTGTAGATTAATGTTATGAATTGATTATTTTACTGGAACACCAATGATGTTTATAAAAAAATAATAAAAGGAAGCCCTGGTACAGTTCATTATCAGAAACTGCAGTAACCTAGAATCGCCAATCTTCATACACTTGCATGGGCTGTAGTGGATATTTTTCTGAGATAGCAGGGGTCAACGAAGTGACTAACTCCTTTCATACAGTGACAGTAAACTCCAAAATATTCTAGTCATATTCAAGGAATCAGGAAAAGAATGGTTAATATCATTAGCAACCTGGTATATTACCACACAAAAAAGACCAATAACTTATTTTAAATATACAAAAATCAATGACCCTCCCTCAACAAGTTGCCTCCCTTCCCCTACAAAGCCGCAATTCTTTAGACAGCTTGCTTACTACTTTTTCACAGGGTTGGTACAGTTTTCCATGGTGTGTTGTAAGTTCAGGTACAAGCTTGAATTTTATTTTTCTCACAAAGAATTTGAATGAAAATTTACTAATATAAATTAGGAAAAGATAATTGTGCTTTTTTTCATGATCTTTGCCAAAGAGTCATGGTTCTTTATGCCCTCCCTTGATTTCTTCTGACCATTTCTCACTACCAACAAATGAACAGTCCATAAATCAGGTCATTATCACAAAAAAAGGCGCTCCAGCCAACTAATCCACAGGTTTTCGTTGTTGCCTATGACATGTTGCCATGAGTTCTGTGCTAGGATACGAACCACAGGGCTTTGGATACAAAGTCGGAAGCAGGAGTGAAACGGAAGCAAGAGTGAAACGGTATACCTTGGTATTAGTAGAATGACAGTATTTTGTCTTCGGTTCGGTATACCATAATGCAATCCCAAAATTTGGTGTTTTTGTACCGTTATTTCTATCGAGTCATAAAATGACAGTTTTGTTCATTCAAAATAAAGATTCTGGTTATTTTTTGTGCATGCTATTAAACAACGTAAGGTTAGGCTCTTGTTATCAATTGTCTGCATTATGATCATATCTCATATATCGGACCGAAACAGACCAAACCGAAGGCTTTGTACCACGGTAAGATGGTACCATTCCACCCCTCGTCAGAAGCCTTGTCCACATGACCAAAGAGGTTAACCCCATCAGCAAGAAGAAAATACTTTCCTTGCCTTCATATTAGTGATAAATAAGAGGTACTGGCAATGTTGTTTGTCCTTTAACAGCCTACATGAAGAAAACTTTCTCACTAGCATAACCTTACCGTGCTCTGTCAACAGTGGTACAGGCAGTCTATGCTACAAACATTTGCATCTACTAGCCCCAAAATATCTAAAAGCATTATTTCCAGCAGATTCTGTTATTTCTGAGCTGAGCTTACTTGACCCGAGTGAACTCTACTGGACCCAGGCTTCAGACTAGTGGCTAGTCGCTGACTGTATTCATACACATATCAACAGTGTTCTCTTCAATCTAGTTTAGTTTTCGTGCAAATGGATATTGGGCCATGTATCAAAATAGGAATAAACAGACGATTTGGTGAAAGATGGAAACAAAATAATGTCAGTAACTACAATATATGATCATGTTTGTTGAAACACTAATGTAAATGTCATGGTACTTATTGCTCTGCCCCTGATGTCTTGACAGATCTCGATATGGCTGAAATATTGCCGATGTGACAATAAATTTTAAATCTTAACTTGACAGCTTTAGAAATTAGGGGTGGACTGTTGTCCTCCAGTTTTGTTGGTATAATCTTTGAATCTAGAAGGGACTCCTAATCTTTGATTCTTAACAGTATGGTTATATCCAAAAATATCTTTCCTTCTCCATATTTAAACAGTGTTAACCATCACGTTCCGCCTATAGGACTGTGCAGTGTGTCCATCCCTGTAGGACAGCTGTAGTCATATAGTTGTGGATCAACTCATGATAAACCTATCTTTAACTACTCTCTACTTTGAGCATCTTGAGATATAATACAACAAAGGAGCATGCAATTTAACAACAGATGACCGAGGGCAGGAACCCTCGACATGATATAATACAAATGGAAATGTCTGCACCATTGTCTGATAAATGTACAATACAGAAGTTGAGGGCTGACACGATGCACATGGCTACTAGTGACACCAGGGGGGAGATCCACAAAGCATTCGTAACACTACGATATTTGTAAGAATGTGATAAACTATATACTTATGATAGTCTGTAATGCTACAGACATTTGAGTATTGGAACCGAAGTCGGTAAGCTCGAATAAACTATGAATATGTCCAAATTGCCTCCCTGACTTCAGTCATTTATATATGTTTCCCATTTAATACCAGCATTGTTTTGTATCCGCGCAACAAGACTGACTGACTGAGTTTGGATTTACGCCCGCTTTTAGCAATATTCCAGCAACATCACGGCGGGGGACACCAGAAATGGGCTTCACACATTGTACCCATGTGGGGATTCGAACCCGGGTCTTCGCCGTGACGAGCCAACGCTTTAACCACTAGGCTACCCCACCGTCCCCACGCAACAAGAGACATGTATCTGGTCATCACATTGATACCAGTGAATCATTACAGCCCCAACTTCAGTTCATTAATTTGGTTAATAGCACAGTAGAAATTGTATGTACAATTCTATAAACATGTCGACAGCATCTGTAAGATGTCCCACCACAATGTCTGTACATCTCCTATGTCCCGAGGGTTGTAAGCATCTCTGCAGCTTGTCCTGTGTGGTGAATGACTGGGCCTCCCTCTGAGTGTAGCACCTGTGTTTCCTGAAACACCTGGTGATTGTTTTTTCCATCAAGTGGCTTGATGTTGGGGGCGGGACCGTCCTCTTCTCCTCCGACAAAACCCCACCTGATCCTCTCTGTCTGTTCATGGCGTGCCGATGTCGCGACTCATACAGGTATTTCTATGGACAGGAGAAAAGAGTCATAATGTGTTTTCTAATCAAGAAACCTTAAAGAGTATTCAACAATTACACTGTAAAATCAATTCTGTCAAACTCAACATGTGTCTCACTTGAATGGTACAGACATTTCAAGCAGTAATGACTATATATTACCTGTGGGAAGTACTGCCATACAATCTCTGCCATCCATTTGAGTGAGTGAGTGAGTTAAGATTTTAAATCAGGCATATCGTGACTAAATCAAATTATAGATTTTTAATAATTAAAAGTAAAATACAAACACCTGTCAACGAAGGACAGTAAAACAATTAGGCTATCACAGATATTAATTTAAAACAAGAAATTAAATCTAAAACAGTTTAACTATAGATATCTGTTTGATATTCTGTTGATTAGTTTTCAGAATATGAATCTGGAAATTTCTCAAAATATTTTTCAAAGCTTAGTCTGGATTATAAGTGGCCATTTTGAAACATGGGCCATAAAACCTGAAAAGCTTCTCTTAACTTCCTGTTTCTCATTACACTGGTTCACAGTTCACAAAAGGCTGGGCTGACATGACCCGTACTACGATGACTCAAATCTGTGATGTAGTGGTACTGGTAGTGAGAACTAATATCTGATTTCAATAAGGATAGCATAATACTATTATGCTCTGAATCTACACATATTATTCTAAAAAGTCCTTTTCTAACTCTTCTGACAATACTAAAGTGGTTCCTAGGCACTGGTCTGTTGCTGTATACCTGGTTAAGTAGCCAAGACACCAACTCCTCTGTTCATACAAAGGTGAGGTGAGGTGAAATTGGGTTTTACGTCGTGCTTGAGAATATGTCGCTCATATGACGACGTGCGTGTGTATGTGTATGTGCGGCTGCTTGTACTAGCCCAGACTTAAGCTGGTTTTATAGTGCTAGCCCACTGAGACACCATGCCGCAGTGAAGCATGAATACCCCACTCAGACACATTATACTGACTCCGAGCCGACCAGTCCTTGTTATACCCATTAATGCCGAACGCCAGGCAGGGACCAACAAGTACCTTATTTTAACGTCTTTTGGTATGATGCGGTCGGGGATCGAACCCGCGACCTTCCGCTCTCCGGGCGGACGCTCTAGTCTAACCACTACACCACGGAGACGGTCGTTCATACAAAGAGTGAGTGAGCGAGTATGCCTTAATGCCGCCTGTAGCAATATTCCAGCAATATCACAGCGGGGTTTGACAAAGAGAACGCTGTCTGTCAGTATCACCTGTTAGCATGTGATATGATATTTGCAAAATAATGACTCATTAATGAGTAACCCACCTGTCTCTCCTTCGGGATCTTTCCTAGAGATTCCAGTTTGGCTCTGGCCTGCCTTCGTTTCAGTATCCGATGGTACTGTTTTGCATTCACATAAAGTGGCTCATCCCCTGACTCAGAGCCAGGCTGCAATGTAAAACCATTCAGTATTTCTATACATCCTATCAAAGTTTCTATGCCTCTAAACAATGCAGTGTTCGCGAATAGTGTCTGACCCTCTGACAAATCCGGCAGATTCGCCAATGGTCCGATAGAAGTCTACAACCCACCAGCCCCAGTGTCCGACTGTATATTTCACAATGACTTTGACTGAAGTTGTTATATTTGACATGTGACACTTGTTTGCTGTTAATTTTACTTATGTTTGTAAATAATTTCAATGCCAATTATAAGAAATGTTAAATCTGAAATGTGTGTTTAATTTTATTCCAAGGGTCCTGTGAATTTTCAATGGGTCAGACAGACATCTTAAACTTACAGGACCCAATGTCCTGTTACTTTGAAACATCATTCGTGAACACTGACAATGTGTCATGTTTCTGGTCTTATGGGTCAACCAAAAACTGGTGAGGAAAGCCAGATGATCAATACTTTAGTGTAACCTACTAGCTCAGGTATCATGTTGACAAACCTAAAAATAAGAAATGTCACGATACAGTGTTGAATGTATCGATAATTGTATCGTCTTTGAAAAGGTATCCATGCATCGATGTATCGTGGCATCCCTACTAAAAATAAAGTCCAAGCATTTCAGGGATTCAAACCAGACCCATGGGTTTCTAAGTTACCAAGGGATGCAACTCTGGACAGGGAATTCAAGCTCCTTTGATGAATTGGAACCTGTACCCCCAAATCGTAAAAGAATTTTATGTTGCAGGTGATATGGTGTGTTTACATTTGACAATCAGTAGTTGACAAAATTGGTGGAAGAAAAGACTGACCATGCTGACTGACAAAGCCACCCATCACACAAAATGACAATGTTTACGTACCATGGGTAGTTGTTGCCCTCCTGGTTGTTGTGACGGGAGATTGATAACTTGAATACCTTCAAGAAAACATAACCAGTTACGTTTCATACTTCCACCACGACCAATCTTGAAGTTGAGTAACAGTAACACAACAAAGTAGTAGTGTGTTAGAGATTAGCCCTAGTTTAGGGTTTGAGACTGACGGGATGGGGTGCTCAGGCTCGCTGACTTGGTTGACAAATGTCATAGTATCCCAATTACATAGATCAATGTTCATGCAATTGATCACTGGATTGTCTGGTCCAGACTCGATTATTTACAGATCGCCGCCATATAGCTGGAGTATTGCTGAGTGCTGCCTTAAAGTACTTGAACAGCAAACAAACAAAACAGACAGGTCTTAATTGAAAGGATTACAGCTTTGACATGTAAAAGCTTCAACACACTTTCCTGCACTCGTATGCAGGTCTATACATGACAAAACGTGTCACCATGGTTACCTTGTGGCAGCTGTACTGGTTTATTGTTGGCATCCACCAATACAAAGGATGTCTGTCCATTGATAGTAACTTGGTTGAGGAACAGCATCTGGGGGATTCCCCCAGGGTTGATGGTGGTGGTACCATTTCCTTGTATCACTGGTTGTGTGCCTATAACATTGGCCCCCTGTTGGACAACCGAGGTTGGCTGGACAATCGTTTGACCAGTAGAGGCAATCACGTTGGCAGCATTGGCCACAACCTGTGTAGATGGTGTTGATGCGAGAGAGGTGAAGGAAGAACCACCTTGCGTTGTGTAGATAGTTTGAGCATCTGATACCTGAAGGAAAATAGCAAGTAAGTGAATGCCAAACACTTTCGACACACATTGTGTATTTTAAAAAAATCTGCACTTGTTTGCTATGGGACAAACACAGAACACTTGGACATGCTCTGCACTTGACTTCCTCAGAACTTTATGCTCACAGGCACAGAAGGCTGACCCTGTATGATCCAAGACGTACCTGAATGACCCCTGGCTGGCCATGGAGCTGGGCAACCTGCACTCCATCCTGTGTTATGTACTGGATACCCTGCACATGTTGGACGGCCTGGCCGTCTTCAGGGTTGACCGTTACTGTGAGGGGCTGCTGACTGTCTGCTTCATACACTGTGTACTGTTCAGCCTCGGCCATTTCTCACTGCTCTACAAATAAAACAGTGCTAGAAAATAGAGGGTCTCTTGTGATTTCCTGACATAGTATTTGAATCAGCAGACCCCCCTAAATTCACATGCTTAACATTAGATTCATGACAAGGACCTCTTGAATTGTATGCCCTATTCTGAACACTGTAATTTATGGAGGCATAAACCCATACAAGTACAGATGAAGATGTGAAGAAAAAATCTTGTGACTTCCTGACAAGGGTTTTTTACTCACAGAAAATGTTTAGGTAAAAAAATGTAAAAGGTACCATTTATATAACTGAAAATTCAAAATACATTCATATTTCATGGAATGTATTCTATGGTCAAGGCGCAATGTCTAACAAAATCAGTGACAAGTGAATGTGATATTAGTGTCTCTTGCATGATCAAAGAGTTGTGCTATAAACATTGTTTTTACACTTAAGCAAGAAAATAGTCCACTGGATGTACAAAGTGCTACACACATCATTCAATATTCAATTTCCTGGAGACCAAAAGGAACTAATCAGCCATTTTGATCTGCTATTCATGATACAATATCAAATTTGCATCTTTGTCAACTTCTATGCTCGTATGATTGCATACGATAGAATTTTAGGTTTTAGTTAGTTCATCCGAAGAGTAGATGATGTTTGAAGAAAATAGTCTGAGAAACGTACGCTATACACAAGTACGTCATAAGGCTAATCATCAGTCAAAATAGCGACTGGGTGAAAAGCGTAAAGTTTTGCCTTGAAAAATGCTTTGAAACTTCAAAGTTAGTAACAGAACCGGTGTGAGAGTGTTGTGGTTAACTATTCTCGCATGCATAACGGTACAGTGACGAAAGTGCAAAACAAGAGAGACCTAGATATGGGTGCCGACATGACTGAATGGATGCCGTTTTGTCTGACATGGCGAAGGTTCGAATGGTTGAGAAAACCGTCCTCACACTTCTCCTTCGACATCTTAGAAAGACAACTAGGGTTAAATACCTTCAACAAGCATCCAATGAGACTTGTTACTCTTTACTGGCTAATAGAGTCTATCAGTGACCAATCAGAAAGGAATATTTGGATTTACCAATGCATGGGCTTCCCCTGTGGTTATAAATATGGCGCAGAATTTGAGCACACAGATTGATGACGTATCAATGAGGTCAAAATATTATAATTAACTTACAAATATTATCCATATTGCGTGGGTATTTTTAATGTAAATTGCAAAAGCTGGAAAATGTTAATTTTTAAAAAGATCTGAATTTTGGTTTCTCAAACCTCCCCTTATCCACTTCCGGTTCGATCGCGTCGTCGAAACGTTACCGCCTTTGTTGATGCCGGTTTGAGCTAAAGCTTCAAACTTACATCCACTGTTATCGTCATGAGTAAGGCACATCCACCAGAGTTGAAAAAGTAGGTATATGGCTATTAAATGTTGTGTGGATTATATACCTAATTTTGACTGTCATTTGCTCTTGTTTGAAACTAAACAGTATTGCATCGGTTTGTTTACGTTTCGAAACGAGCACCTGCTGAAAGAATGAGAGTTCGGTTAATGTTGTACCATGAACATTGTATAGTTAAGTGATATAAATCCCTTAGAAAAAAATATACTGCTGATGTGCTGTCCCGTATGTACTTGCATACATTGTGGAAAGACTTCCGCCCGTATCCCCCATTAAATTTCATTCTAGTCAAAGTCTGAAAGTAGTCTTTCCACTGAATATTTCTTGAAGACTTAAGTTGCATCATTTTACATTGGATGTGAAGTTTTCAAGGCTAGAATGCACTTTACCGGGCGCAGCCCTCTTTGCTCCCTCCACGATCCTTAGGGTTAGGGTTTAGGGTATGGCACTCTTTACGATCCTTAGGGTTAGGGTTTAGGGTAAGGCACCCTTTACTATCCTTAGGGTTAGGCACCCTTTACGATCCTTAGGGTTAGAAACCCTTTACGATCCTTAGGGTTAGGGGTTAGGGAAAACATGATGCCCCAATGTTTTAATCTCGTGGGTAATGAACCAATAAAGTGCAGTACTCCCAACACTTAAGACCTTAGTCCTGTTGGTCTGCACTTTAATCTTCCACACATCCAATACAAAAGGTGACTTAAGACCTTAGTCCTGTTGGTCTGCACTTTAATCTTCCACTCACTTATGACAGTGGTTGGATAATTGACACTGCTGTAACTTGACTGGTTAACTTTGGATATTCTGATCGCCGTTACCATGATAAACTATGGCATAGTGTCTCGGTGAAAAAATGCCATTTGTCAGGGCTAACACATACTGCAAAGTAAGCTCATTGTTATCTTGCAGCTGGCATGAATCCCAATTTTGCCTTGCCTTGCACATGATGTAACTGAAATTCTGTTTAAAGCTGTGATACCATGCAGGGGTGAAAATAACCAATTGCCTGACGTCCAAGTCCAGTGTTTTTTTCTGTTGGGCAGAGGTTTCCAGTTGACTTTCCAATGTTAATTACATTGTATATTTAAGAAAAATCAACAAGAAAATTGGCCGGTTTAGAGGAAAAATTATCAGGGCAAGTGATTTTACATATGCCACTGTACCAGAGTATACTAGCAACTTAAAAGTTATTTCCACCCCTGCCCTGAATTCGTCCCTTTTGTGATGACCTAAACTTATATTTTTGTATTTTACAGGTACATGGAGAAGAAGCTTCAGTGTGAGTATTATGAGCCATTATTAGATAAGCAAGTTATGTTATTCCTGTTATTCCAGTTACCTCTTGATGCATTGCTTATGCACATCCCATAAATATGAAATGAAGTAAAAGTTGTGCCTCTGAAAGAGAAAGAACTGAACTGTGTTTTTGAAATCTTTCCCACGTTATTTTCTGAAACCAAAATGTGAAGTTTAATATTTTCAGACTTTGGTTGTTTTTGTTCCAGTGAAGCTGAATGGAGGTCGACAGATTACTGGCATCCTGCGAGGGTTTGATCCCTTCATGAATCTCGTGGTGGATGAGGGTATGGAAGAGACCAAGACTGGAGAGAGACGACCAATTGAAGGTTGTGACAGTTCCATTTATATATTGCTAATTTCGCTCGTCCCAGTAAAATATTCCTACCCTTCATTACAAAAATGGATGATTCAGTCGTAGTGATCATGGCAGTGTGTTTTGTTTCTTGGTTTGTATGGATGATTCAGTCGTAGTGATCATGGCAGTGTGTTTTGTTTCTTGGTTTGTATGGATGATTCAGTCGTAGTGATCATGGCAGTGTGTTTTGTTTCTTGGTTTGTATGGATGATTCAGTCGTAGTGATCATGGCAGTGTGTTTTGTTTCTTGGTTTGTATGGATGATTCAGTCGTGAGTGATCATGGCAGTGTGTTTTGTTTCTTGGTTTGTATGGATGATTTAGTCGTAGTGATCATGGCAGTGTGTTTTGTTTCTTGGTTTTGTATGGATGATTCAGTCGAGTGATGATCATGGCAGTGTGTTTTGTTTCTTGGTTTGTATGGATGATTCAGTCGTAGTGATCATGGCAGTGTGTTTTGTTTCTTGGTTTGTATGGATGATTCAGTCGTAGTGATCATGGCAGTGTGTTTTGTTTCTTGGTTTGTATGGATGATTCAGTCGTGAGTGATCATGGCAGTGTGTTTTGTTTCTTGGTTTGGATGATATTCAGTAGATCATGGCAGTGTGTTTTGTTTCTTGGTTTTATGGATGACTTCAGTGAAAGTGATGATCATGGCAGTGTGTTTTGTTTCTTGGTTTGTATGGATGATTCAGTCGTAGTGATCATGGCAGTGTGTTTTGTTTCTTGGTTTGTATGGATGATTCAGTCGTAGTGATCATGGCAGTGTGTTTTGTTTCTTGGTTTGTATGGATGATTCAGATGATCATGGCAGTGTGTTTTGTTTCTTGGTTTGTATGGATGATTCAGTCGTGAGTGATCATGGCAGTGTGTTTTGTTTCTTGGTTTGTGATGATGGATGACTTCAGTCGTAGTGATCATGGCAGTGTGTTTTGTTTCTTGGTTTTATGGATGATTCATGATCATGGCAGTGTAGTGATGGATCATGGCAGTGTGTTTTGTTTCTTGGTTTGTATGGATGATTCAGTCGTAGTGATCATGGCAGTGTGTTTTGTTTCTTGGTTTGTATGGATGATTCAGTCGGTTTGTAGTGATCATGGCAGTGTGTTTTTGTTTCTTGGTTTGTATGGATGATTCAGTCGTAGTGATCATGGCAGTGTGTTTTGTTTCTTGGTTTGTATGGATGATTCAGTCGTAGTGATCATGGCAGTGTGTTTTGTTTCTTGGTTTGTATGGATGATTCAGTCGTAGTGATCATGGCAGTGTGTTTTGTTTCTTGGTTTGTATGGATGATTCAGTCGTAGTGATCATGGCAGTGTGTTTTGTTTCTTGGTTTGTATGGATGATTCAGTCATAGTGATCATGGCAGTGTGTTTTGTTTCTTGGTTTGTATGGATGATTCAGTCATGGCAGTGTGTTTTGTTTCTTGGTTTGTATGGATGATCATGGCAGTGTGTTTTTTGGTTTCTTGGTTTGTATGGATGATTCAGTCGTAGTGATCATGGCAGTGTGTTTTGTTTCTTGGTTTGTATGGATGATTCAGTCGTAGTGATCATGGCAGTGTGTTTTGTTTCTTGGTTTGTATGGATGATTCAGTCGTAGTGATCATGGCAGTGTGTTTTGTTTCTTGGTTACAAGTGTATGTATATTTCTTTCATCAACAAGAATGTCATCTTTGTTTTTAAGCTCATTTATGTAAATAAACATTTGTGTATAGATATAAATTGTGCTTGCTTTATTGAACAGTTATCTTGTAATCGTTATCAGAGTTGCCAATCAACTCTATCCACAGTCTGTGGGAAAACACCTGTTAACAATTGTAGAGAAAGGAGGATCTGGTAGTGGTGCGATTAATTGAAATAATCGAAGATTGGTTGCAGTGACTAAATGACCAAGCAATTGATCATGTCTCATCAATTTTGGAACACTTATTTGCATTAACAATATTTTGAACAAGATTGGCTTTGTCATTAAGTTTACATTTCATAAGCAATTCAAGCTGTTCCAAGTCATGATTGAATTTATGTTAAAGACTCCAGGAAATTTATGTTCCTTACATACTAGTCATCCTTTTAAGGTGTGAAATTTGCCAATGCATTTACGCAATTTGAAAAAAAAACCCAAAGAACTACATGTTTTTTAATATATATTTTTTCGTGCATTAACAAACATAACAGTAAATTAGAAAAATGACGCAAACCACTTATTTTTGATGAGTGATCGGTTGTAATAAACCAATCGTCAATTATGAGATTTTAACCAATTCCCAACACTAGGAGGATCATCTTTTCCTGGAGACACCATGTTGGCATGAATGGCTGCTTTGGATACTTGATGGCAGAATGGTCACCAATTTTCATTACAGGAGAATTATTAATTATACGCACACACCCCAAATGCTGTGGAATTGTACTGCTGTTGTACTGCTGGCATATAACCCTGTAGCACATTCTTCCTAGGTGGCCCAAACTCTTCAGCAACTGGCATATTAGCTTGGACTCATTTGCCAGAAGAACTTGGATTAGCTGCAGGTACCCGAAAGTATGATTGTCATAGGCAACTTCTTAATTTCAGAAATAAACCTATTCCCTTGAAATCTGATCTCATTCAAATAGTAGTGTTGGGAAATATAATCTGGTTTTAATCAGACCAGTAATCAGACTGAAGTAAACCATGTGCATTTGTCTAATAATTGCATTACCAGTGGAAGGCTTTTGGTCCTAAAAAACACTTTAGGGGTGAGTAATTGAAAAACATTTTAGTATATACACACTCATGTAATATATGTTTTATATGGGGTACTTTGTCAAGTAAGTTGTTTAGACCCATCCGAGGGGCGGTGGGGTAACCTAGTGGTTAAAGCGTTGGCTCATCATGCCAGACCCCGGTTCGATTCCTCACATGGGTACAATGTGTGAAACCCCTTTCTGGTGTCCCGCCGTGATATTGCTGGAATGTTGCTAAAAGCAGCGTAAAACCATACTCACTCACTTAGACCCATCCGGATTCGAACCCACACTCCGAGTGAGGCATTTAAAATTACCAGCACACACTGGCGGTGATCTAACACACACATAACATAAGTAACATTTCAGTTACAAATACGGCGTACAGTGAATTGCCCAGTCGTTTATGCTTTTATGGTTAAACTCCAGCAGTCATGGATTCGAACCCACAAAGGATCCTTGTATGAAGAAGAGATGCGTGTATTGTCTTTCTTGGGCAATGTTGCCATGCTCATACAAACTCTCTAAACACTGATATATATATATATGGACAAAAATAGTTAGGGATATATGTAAATTTTGAAATTATGAATAATGATCTATTTATTCATTGACACACTGATAAAATATCAATCATAAAAATACCAATATCCCTAACTTATTTTGTCCAGTATACTTTCTTCACACAGAATCTCAATAGCATGGTTGTATCGATTGATAGGTTATTCTGTAGAACTGTATGCGTGTGTGTTCTCATTTGCCAGGGATTTGTAATACTTGATTGCATTACTATACTTTGGCTCCATACGTACACACCTGCCAACGTCTTGAGACTCACGCTTTTATTACTCAAGTCACGCTCTCACGACAGAATTATGACTGAATGTATGGTCAATCCATATACACGTGGCTGGAATATAGCTGAATGTGGTGTTTCAGAACAAAGAAAGAAATATAGCACATGTATATATCCTAAAGAATACCATTTACCGGTCTTCCACGTGTGACATCATGTCAACAACCAACAATAACTCTCACGCCAAACTGGGTACAGCATTTTGACCACTTAAATCACACAACAAGGTCTGAATACATAGTTTTAAGTGACCTTTCTTGGAAGGGAATTTGCAAACCCACCCACCACGTTCCACCCTCAGGGGCGTAGCTACCATTTTTAAAAAAGCCCGGGCTTACGCATGATTGTCGCTGAAAAGGTTGGGCAAGCCCTCAGTACTATCTGATATAAAGCTTTGAATCCTATCGGGTTTATACGAAAGAATTGGCTTGCTACGCGCCTGACCCTGGACAAGACAGGGACCTGTGGCCCTTGGATCCCGGCATCTCAGGCCTTTTCCTCTCTTGGAGTTTGAAGCTCTGATACATATCCGTTGTTAGGTATACGCTTGATCACCCGCCATCACAAACTTGTGAACAACAACCTTGCACCTCCGTCTCATATGTTTTCATGAACAGTTGCCGGCTTCGTTCTTCACAACATTCGTACCTCTTAAAAAAATAAGTTGCCTTCACTGGCAGGGTCTGTTTCAATAAAATTTACAACCAAAATACTCCATGGTTAACGTTGACGGAGAAACAAGTCATGAGAATTCACTCTCCTCGCGCTTGCAGGACCGAAGGGTTTTAAATAAAACACCGATTAATGACTCCGTGAAGTCAGAAGGCAATGTTAACATTCAAGTTTTAGGTTTGGAATTTTGTTGTAAATTAAAGATTCTCCACCTGACAACATTGGCGCATTGCTCATGTATAACAACCGAGGAAATTAATATACTGGTATTTTTAACCCGAGGCGAATACTCAGAAGGCTATACATGCATGCAAATCATGAATTGAATATATAGTATCGGAGATATATATCTCGTGACTTAATAACCACTTCAAACATGTTGCATAAATGCATAAATATTCGGCCTCGTATGTTACTGGCAACGTCGGATTTGCCAACAGGCATCCGTGTAGATTTCAAGGAAGAAGTTCCCAGTGATGCCATGCATGATAATCGAAGTGTCTCAGGTTTGGATCGTTGCTCGTTGTTTCGGTCACTGGGTCGACTGCATGCTCCAGAGCCCATTATATGTCAAGGTCCCTGTGATATAGTTATGATATTGAAAATGGCTTATTGTGGCGTTCAATAACACTCACTCACTCACCATCCAAGATGAAGTACGTGTGTGTCATCACCGGTCTAGCTTATATATCCGGGATAGAATTGGTGTTCAGCTTGTGGTAAGAGGCAACTAAGGTTGGGGGTCAGGCTGGCTGACTTAGTTGGCAGGTCATCAACTGTTAAAGGAGACTTCAGAATCACAGAGATCGATGTTTGACAAATTGATGTCACGTGACTGATCAAAACAGTAACTTTTCATTAATTGGATGATGAATTGTATATTTTACTACTACACATAAATCTTGTTTGTTATATTTCTTGAAAGTATTAGAATAGCCCTTTGAACGGCGAATATATCTCACATATTGCAACAAATGAATATTTTTTTATAGTCGGCAACGAT